ACAAATGTTCCAAATTCCACAGGTTCTATTTGCCTTGGAGGAAAATCGTTATGCAGTTGCGCTGCTGCTTCGCGGCCGAAAGCCTTATCAATCATCGGGGTTTTACATACACCTAGAAAAACACAGCAATACAATCATTGAAAGACGAGAGAACACTTCGTCGCGCAGAAAATAAAAACCAGATGAAGCCTAAATTGACTTTCACCGATTGCGCAGAGATGCTTAAAACCACCATCGAATATTCAAACATGTACCTGGCGCTATGTCCATAATGCGTATTGCATAATTTCTCAATTCAATTGCGAGAGGAGGAATAATGTTTATTAAACCACCTTTGCTGGCGGAATATCCCAACATTTTTGGGGTTCCATTAAGACCAACAACACTGAAACCGATAATTAGCTAATGTAAATATTATCCACCAGTAATCCTTAAATTTTTAAGCGACCAAATATTTCAAAGTAAATACAGGGTGTCCCGTAAGCATATGATCAACAGGGAACTGCGATATTATTTGGATCAAAAGAAGACCATCTGACCTAACTTTTTTAATCTGATCTGACCTAACCTTCTGATCACTTTTTTGAAGAACTTTGCCCATCAGTAGCAGAGGAGCCAGACATTTTTTGTTAATAAAAGTTAGGTCAGATCGTCTTCTTTTGATGCAAATAATATCGCAGTAGCTTTTTAATCACGCGTTTACGGGACACCTTGTACAGAGGTGCTATTATCAGTCAAAGGTAGGATCACCAAAAAAAATAGAGCACATACCTTGAAATAGTAATAATAACTCCTCTTACTCCATCAGCATCTTTCTCATTTTCAATTAATAAAGGAAGCGCTTGCCGAATAGAAATTAGTGTTCCAATAAGATTAACCTTTAATTTTGCGTATATAAACAAATATTAAACTTCGATTAAATTATCTAGTGCCAGCTACTTACATTTACTTCTTTGCGAAAATTGTCTAAACTACTAAGTCGTTTTGTTTTCGTGTCATATATTGGCTCAACATCGCCAACAAAAGCAGCGCAACTAACTATTCCGTTCAATTTCCCAAATTTTCTTTTTCCGGTCGCAAGTGCTTCTTTAACGTCCTCTTCCGACGTTACCTAAAACAAGTTCTCATATAACCGCCATACATTCAAAAACCAATAATCTTGTAATGAAAAAAAACTTACATCAGTTTTCACATAGCACATATTATCTGCAAAAGGCTTTAAACTATCATCTATCAGAGTTTGAATATCTAGGATTATTACTTTCGCTCCATTAGTAAGAAGAACTTTTGCCACTCCTTGTCCTAATCCTGAAGAACCACCGGTCACAGCAAATACCGATCCCTACAAACAGGAAATATGCAAACATCCTTTATACAGTTCCTGTGTCAATTTGGAATACGAAACATAAATATATTATCGAAAAAGATACCCTTTCGAGACCATTCCTTGAGACTAATGGGGTTTTCGGGTTTTTAGGTCGTCGTTGGGTAGAATTTCTTCTTGACGTTTCGCAAGCACGAGTGGCTTACTCTGATTCATGATTCATCAAAACAGTGTAGCGTTCAAGCAAACCACTTCTGAAGATGCAAGCTACTCGTGCTTGCGAAACGTCAAGAAGAAATTCTACCGAACGACGGCCTAAAAACCCGAAAAACCCATTAGT